ACGGCTCGCAGGTACGGGGGGAGGCTCCGCCGGGCCGGGGGGAGCCGGAGGGCGGCAGCGGGAGCCCAGGCTCTGTGTCCCCCACTGCCCAGGCCTCGGCCGCGGCCGCCACGGCGGAGCTGCTGAAGCGGCAGGAGGAGCTGAACCGGAAAGCGGAGGAGCTGGACCGGCGGGAGCGGGAGCTGCAGAACGCGGCCCTCGGCGGGGCACAGAGTGAGTGCGGCCGCGGGGCCGGGGAGGGGCGGTCTCCCCCCTCGGAGCCCACTCCCCTCCTCACCCCCTTCTCTCCGCAGCGAGGCTCAACAACTGGCCCCCGCTGCCGTCCTTCTGCCCGGTGAAGCCCTGCTTCTACCAGGACATCCCCGTGGAGATCCCGGCTGACTTCCAGAAGACCGTTACCACCATGTACTACCTCTGGATGGGTGAGTGCAGCCCGGGAACCTCGGGGCAGACCCGGGGAGGGGACGGGGGAATGAGTGTGCTGTTGCTCTGGGGAAAATTGGGACGAGCAGGTGGTGCCTGGTCTGGGGTGGGGTGGGGGAAGCCCCACAGGCTCCTGAGCGCTGTCCTATCCCTCAGCCAGCACCATTACCCTCTTCCTGAACTTCGTGGCCTCGCTGGCGTGGTTCTGCGTGGATCCCTCGGCCGGGTCCGGGTTTGGCCTCTCCATCCTCTGGGCTCTGCTCTACACGCCCTGTTCCTTTGTCTGCTGGTACCGGCCCATGTACAAAGCTTTCAGGTGTGTGCCCGACCTGCTGCAGCTCCCTGGGGCCTCTGGCTCTGCGGGATGTGGTGATTCCATGCTGTCCCCCCCTGCTTTAAGGAAGGTTTGAGAGCTCCTTTCCTGCAGCCTAACCTCGCCTGTCTCTTCCTCCCAGGAGCGACAGTTCCTTCAACTTCTTTGTCTTCTTCTTCGTGTTCTTTGCCCAGAATGTGATGTACGTGCTGCAGGCCATCGGCATCCCAAACTGGGGATTCAGGTGAGCCACGTGCTGACCCCGGGCCGGCCCAGGACCCTGGGAAGGTGGGAAGAGGGAACTCTGGGGGCAACAGCAGCCTCTTGTTTTTGCAGTGGCTGGATCCTGAGCCTGATAGCGCTGCGGACGAACACGGCCGTGGCCGTGATAATGATCCTGGTGGCCTTGTCCTTCACGGCGGTGGCTGTGCTGGGCATCATTATGCTGAAAAAGGTGCGTTGGGACACTTCTTCCCTGTAGCCACACTTGAGCTGAAGGGAGTGCCAGGGAGGCTGAATTTGGCTGGCTTTCCCTTTCCTCTGCAGCCCCTGGCAGTGCTGCACGCCTCTCAGGTCTGGTTCAGATCTCTGAGAGCCACTGCAATAAAAGCAAGAGGAAATGGGCAAGCACAATGAAAAAGAAACAACAAACAAAACAACCCAAAATCGTGTAAACATTAGGTGTTTTCGAGCTCAGTTATGGAAGACTTAGAGCTGACCACTTAGCAAGAGTTTTAGGAAGATGATTGAAACAAAGGGTGGGTTTGTTTTTAAAGTAGAAATAAGGTGAATAAAGTAGTGGCCTTTGAAGAGAGAAAGCAGTGTCTTTGAAGAGAGATAAAGTAATATATTTAAAGAGATAAAGTAGCATCTTTGAAGAGATGAAGTAGTATCTTTAAAGGGATAAGGTAATATCTTTAAAGGGATAAAGTTGTCGCCCTTGTGGGGAGGGGGGCAGGTTTGGGGCATCCCTGGAGCCCCAGCCTGACCCCCCCCCTCCCCCCCTCCCCACCCATGACCCTTCCAGATCCACTCCCTGTACCGCCGGACGGGTGCCAGCTTCCAGAAGGCACAGGAGGAGTTCGCGGCCGGGGTGTTCTCCAACCAGGCCGTGCGCACGGCCGCGGCCAACGCCGCCGCCGGTGCCGCCACCAGCGCCTTCCGCGCGCCGTAGCCGGGCGGGCGCCGGCCCTGCCTCCCCGGCGCACGCGGGGGGCTCTTCCCGGGGAAGAGGAGAACCCGAGCTGCACTTTCACTGGATCCCCCCACCCCCACAACGCCCCCCGCCCCAGCGCGCGCGCCTGCATCGGCTGTCAGAGGCTGCCTCATCCCGGCTTGGAAGTGCTGGTGCCTGAATCGTCTGCTGCTCGAGACCCCTTTTCTTCCCCCCACTCACGGACAGAGGCTGTTCCTGGTTTGTGCTGGTCCCCCTCAGCGGAGTGGGGGTGCCGAGGCCGAGCTCTGCGCCTGCCGTCGCCCTCCCTTCCAGCACGAGCCTCCTCCTCCTCCAGCTGCGTGGCAGGGACTGGAACAGCTGCTCAGCCTTCCCTGGGCTCTCCTGTGTCCCTGCCTGGGGATGACACCTGGGGCGTGGAGGGCCCCTCGTTGTGCCCAGTCCTCCCTTTGCCTGCCTTTCCCTGTGATACGGGACCCCCATGCTCTGCCAGGAACATCATCCCCCTTTTCCCCTCAGGGCTTGCTCCGGTGGGATGGGGCTGGGGCTGTCCCCAGGGTGTCCTGTTCCTTTTCCCTGTCCTCTCTCCCTCTCCAGGATGAGGAGAGCAGGGTGGGGACAGGCAGTGCTCGGGCACATGCTGCTGGTGGGGCTCCTAGCTTTAGCCCTCGTGCCCCACGTGGACCCCAAAACCAGGCTGGGTGCTGAGGAGCGGCCCTGGTGTTACTGTGGCTCCAGGGAGGGGTGAACAGCTCCTCCTGCCCCCCTCCCCACCCACCCCAGGGACTGTGACCCCTCGCTCCCCCCAGCACCCTTCACCCGAGGCCTTCACCCTCCTCGGGGGCTGAGCCAGTGCCTGTGTCCCCCTTACCTTCCCTCTGTCCCCGGGGGTCCCTGGGACAGCTCTCATTGCATTCTGCTTTGCCCCCATCTCCTCTCGGAGGCTCCCGGTTTGTCCCTGCAGCTCTGGGGCCGGCGAGAGGCTTCGTGCCTTCAGCTCTGGGGGCCCCGACCCGCTGTGATGGGGGTCCCGTGGGGGTCCCTGTCCCCCCTGCTGCCCCCCCCCCACCCCTCCCATGTGCTACCCCCGCCCGCCTCCGGGTTTATTTAAGGAATAAATGAAGTTTCACTCTGTGTCTCCGCCGCCTCCGTGCGATGACCGGGATGGAGGGAGCGGCGGGGCCGGGGCCGGTGTCGCAGCTCCCGGTGGAGGCGGTGCGGGGGTGGAGAGCGGGGGGGACACACGAACTACAGCTCCCATCGTGCCGCGTAGGGGCGGCCCCGGGGGCGGGCGCGGTCGAGCAGCCGCCGGAGGGTGCGGGACCGTCCCCGCAGCTCCCGGCGCTCCGCCGCCCGCCTCCAGCCGCGGCCCCGGGCGCTCCCGGAGGGCACGGAGGGGGCGATGCTCGCCCGCAGCCTCCCGCGGGCCCGGCGTCCCCGCCGGAGGCTGCGGGGCGCGGGGCGGGCAGCCCGCCGGTAGCCGCCCGCCGGTACCGGCAGCGGGACCCGGCCCTGCGGCCGCCGCCCGCGGAGGATGCTCCGGTGCGGACCGCGGCTCCCGCCTGCTGGCGCTGCCCCGGGGGCCGCGTCCCGGCCGGCGGCTCTCGGCCCCCCCGGGGCGGGATGATCCCCCGGCGGGGGCCCGGCGCTCCACCGACGGTCAGGGAGGAGGAGGAGGAGGAGGCAGCGGCGGCCCCGGGGCCGCGCTCTGTCTCCGGCTGGCGGCTCTAGGCCGGCCCCGGTGAGGCCGGTTCGGTTCTCTGCGGAGCTTCTGGTGGCCCCGGCCGCGCGTGGCCGTGGGCGCTGCCCGAGCCCCCCCACCCCCCCCGCGAGGGCAGGGAAGAGCCGCCGTCAGCATCCTCCGGGAGGCGAAAGGTGGAGCCCGGCCCGTTCCCGCAGAGCGGCCGCTCCCGCTGCCCGCGGTCCTGGCGCGGTGCCGCCGGTTGCCCCGGGGCTCCGGGGCCGGCCCCGAGCCGCCGCCCGCCGCGGCCATGCCCTCCCCCACCGACTCCAGCCGCTCGCTGACCGGCCGCAGCTCCCGCAGCCTCACCCACCTCCGGCTCCAGCGCACCTGGCTGCAGGTCCTGCTGGTCCTGGGCCTCATCCAAGCCATCCTGGGCGTCCTCATCGTCACCTTCAGCCTGGTGGCGGCCACCATCACGCCCTCCACCAAGATCCGGCACTCCTGCCCGTCCTGGGCCGGCTTCTCGGTGAGTGCGGGGCCGGCGCGGTGCGGGGAGGGGGCCCGCACGGTTCCCCGGGGGCTGAGCTTGCCGCCGGTCCCAGGGGAGGGCAACCCCGCTGCTCCCCCACCCTCTGCCCGTGGCTGCCGCGGTGCATTGTGGGAGAATCCCAAGGTCTCCCCCAGGGTGACTCTGAGGGATGGGGACCCCCGAGCGCTGCGGGGGCTGTCGGGGTACCCGTTGAGGTTCGCGAGGAGGGGCACCACAGTGGTGACAGGGCAGGGACCGGGCAGCGAGGGGGGCTCTGCTCTACCTGCTGTGTACTGGGGGGAGGGCAGGACCCGGGGTGCCCCGCGGTGACCCTACAGCTCGGATCCTGGCCCTGTTTGCTGCCTGGTTCAGAGCTGCTCGCAGCCCCCAGGCCCTGAATCAGCAATTTCTCCCAGCTTGCTTCTGCCAGGGCTGCCCCTACGGCCCTGCTGCTCCTGGGCTGGCTATGGGCCCTCCAGGGATCGGGATGGGGGGGCTCTGCCCGTGGGCAGGGGCTGCTCAGGGCCCCACTGCCTGGCAGAGACCCCTCCCCACCCTCACCCCGGGGCTTGTGCGTCTGCAGCTGGCGCTGTCCGGGCTCGTCGGCATCGTCTCCTGGAAGCGGCCGTTCACCCTGGTGGTAGGTGTGGGGGGGGACACCCCCTCCGCAGGTGGGGAAGTCCAGGACGGGGAGGCCGAGCAGCCCCCCTCGCGCCCCTGCAGCCGTGTGTGTCGGCCCCCCTGCTCCGCAGCCCTGCGTGGCCGGCAGCCCCTGTCCTCCCGCTGCAGATCGCCTTCTTCACGCTGCTGTCCGTGCTGGGCGTCATGCTGAGCCTGGCTGGCTCCATCCTGTCCTGCCAGAACGCGCAGCTGGTGAAGTCCCTGGAGGCCTGCGAGAGGGTGAGGCTGAGCGGGGGCAGCCCCCGGCTCCCCCCGGGGGCTCCGCGCTCAGCTCGTCCCTTGCTGCGGGGCTTGGGGACAGGGGGAGCCGCAGAGCCGGGGTCTGGCGGCGGCGGGACGTGCCGGTGTGGCTCTCGGGGGAGGTCCCTCACGGTGTTCCTTGTCGCCAGGAGAGGGACTCGTGTGTCTGCTGCCAGGCCCGCTCGGAGCCCCCGCCCGCCTCCTGCAGCCAACAGAGCGAGATGCTGACCATGTTCCCCAACCCCAACTGCCGGAGCATCCGCGTGGCCCTCAAGGTGGGGGGGACCAGGGGGGAACGAGGGCTCCCTGAGGAGCTGCTGTGCACGCCACCATGTTCTCTGCAACTCACCCCACTGCTCCCCAGGACCTCCTCTTCAGTGTCTGTGGCTTGACCGTCTTCTCCACCATCATCTGCACCCTCTCTGCTGTCGTCTGCTGCATCCAGATCTTCTCCCTCGACATCGTCCATGTGGTGAGTCCCAGCCCTGGCCCAGGAACAGGCAGGGCTGGGGAGCAACGCTCCCAGGCTTGGGTGGGGGGGGAGCTGTGGAGTGCCAGAACAGGACTTGGCCCTTTCTGTGTGCAGATTAAAGCCCAGGATGTGCATCCCTTTGCTGGATCTCTGGGCAGGGCGGGGTCTCAGCTCTCCCTTCTCCCTTGCAGCTAGTCCCGCAGCGCTCGAGCTCTGTGACGCTGGAATGCACGTCCCCCCCTGACACCTTCCTGCAGAGCATGATGGACTTCGAGGAGTTCGTGCCCCCGGTGCCACCACCCCCCTACTACCCCCCCGAGTACACCTGCAGCTCCGAGACAGATGCACAGAGGTACCACCTGGGGGTGAGGCCGGTGGAGTGGGGGGCCCGTGTGCCCCCAGGCAGGGCTTGCCCCACCAGGCGTGTCTTTGCTGCTCTTGCCTCTGCAGCATCACCTACAACGGCTCCATGGACAGCCCCGTGCCCCTCTACCCGACTGACTTCCCCCCGTCCTATGAGACCGTGATGGGGCTGCGGGGGGACAGCCAGGTGGGGGCCGGGGGGCTGTGGGTAGGGGAGGCCAGGCAGGGTGGGTTCTTGCTCAGCTGAGCCCTGAGTGTGTTGCCCCCCAGGCCACCCTGTACGACTCGCAGCTGACAGAGGGTTCACCCGCCTGCACCTGCGACCGCGTTCCCTCCATCGTGCTCAGCGGGGAAGGTGAGTGTTCCCCACGGGCACGGGGTGGGGGGCCACGGGGGTGCCGGCCCTTCCCTGCAGCCCTTCACCGGCGCCCCTCCGCTCCTCGCAGTGTCCATGGACAGCGGCTCCCTGATCATGTCCGAGATCATGGACATCCCCGGGGACAGCAGCCCCTCGGAGGACTCGTGCCTGCTGGAGCTGCAGGGCTCCATGCGCTCCGTCGACTACGTGCTGTTCCGCTCCATCCAGCGCAGCCGCGCCGATTACTGCCTGAGCGTGGACTGCGTGCAGTGCAGCCACCACGCCCGCAGCCCCACGCTGGGCCTGCAGGGCCCCTTCGAGGAGAGCCCCCAGCCCCGCACGCGGGGCGAGCGCTCCTACTCCTGCTCCACGGCGGAGCCCGGCCACGATGGCATCCTGGTGGGGGGAGCCGTCACCCACAGCTGCAACCGGCTGGCGGGGCTGGCGCGCTGCGCCGGGCCCTGCTTCCCCGAGGTGCGGCTCAAGGACAAGGGCTCCCTGCAGGGACGGGGGGGCGGCCGCCCTGCGGACCCCGGAGCCGGGCGCCCGGGCCACCCCCGGCGCAACAGCGAGACCTCGTGCCCCTCGTCCCCGGCCCCGGGGCTGGCCCCACGCCCCCTGCTGAGGTCGCACAGTGACCCCGGCGTCCCCCTGGCCGGCCGCGCTGGTAGGTGGCAATGACCGACGTGTGTGTGGCAGGGTCTGCTCGTGGATGCGCCGGGGGGGGTTTGGCTGCGACGCTCCGCGGCCACGCGGGACTGGAGCCAGGCTGAGGAGGGTGGGGAGGAATGGGGGGGCAGCGGGAGGGTGCTGGGGAGGGGGGTGTGCTGCTTGGGGTCCGCACGGCTTCTGGAACCTGAGGGCTCTCTCTGCTCCCAGCAGATTTCAGGGAAGTACTTTATACCAAAGCACTGGAGGACACCGTGTCCGACTCCTCCG